ATGGGGTTTCTTTCAGATCATCAACCATGACATCCCCCTGGAAGTGCTTGACAACGTTAAAAAGGCGACATATCGCTTCTTTGACTTGTCCGCTGAGGAGAAGAACAAGTATTCCAAAGAGAATACCGTGTCCAACAATGCCCGATACACCACCAGCTTTATTCCTACGGTTGAGAAGGCTCTAGAATGGAAAGATTACCTCAGTCTCTTCTATGTTTCCGAGGAAGAGGCAGCTGCTGTCTGGCCTTCTTCTTGCAAGTAAGACTAGTCGAAATCTAGCTATTTATTTTTAATTAACATTCTCATACTTACATGTAAATACACATTATCAGTTCTATCTCTTACAGTTTGCCATGACCACAAGTCCTCTGTATATATAACAAGTTATTTCCCATTGCATAATACCTACTTATTCATATATTTGACCACATATACTTATCTATACATATATATTAATTTTTCAGGGATGAAGTGTTAACTTACATCCATACCGGCGAAAAAGTTGCGAAGAACTTGTTAAAGGTGCTACTCAAGGGGCTAGACGTGACTGACATAGACAGTGAGAAAGAGCAACTTGTAACAGGTTCAAAGAGGGTTAACATGAACTTCTATCCTAAGTGCCCAAACCCTGATCTCACTGTTGGAGTTGGTCGCCATTCTGATGTCTCGGCATTTACTATTCTCCTTCAAGATGATATTGGTGGGCTTTACGTGAGGGTAGAGGCTACGGACAGTTGGGTCCATGTGCCGCCAGTAAAAGGGTCTCTTGTTATTAATATAGGTGATGCTGTGCAAATACTTAGCAATGGACGTTACAGAAGTATTGAGCACAGAGTCGCGGCTAATGGAAACAGCGACAGGATCTCAGTTCCCCTTTTCATCAACCCAAGGCCAGAAGATATCATCGCTCCGTTGCCTGAAGTTCTCGCTAATACTGGAGAGAAACCGATTTACAAGCCAATTTTGTACTCGGACTACTGTAGGCACTTTTACAGGAAGGCCCACGATGGAAAGGCTACCATTGATATCGCAAAGGCATAATGTGTGTTTTCCATGTTCGAAGAATTATCATGATTTATTTGCAAGCCATTAATATTATAGTGAATGAAAATAAACAGTAAGTGCAGAAAGATGTAATGCATCTATGAAATATGCACGACTAAGATTTAAAACCTGTTAGTAAATTAGTTTCAATAATCTTTGTCGAGACATTTCTTGTACCCCTTGACTTTATGTAAAGTACTGAAGAAGTACTCGGAGTTTTTATATATGTTTGTAATAAACAAGTTTGATTTGTTATGTATAAAAGCATGTGTTGTTTGGATCATTTTATACACATGCATAATTTTTTTATTAATTATATTTATATATCTCTACAGTGTAAAGACATTAATCCTGAATGTTAAGAACAAAAAGCTATTTTTCCAGCTTTCATGATCTAAATACAAGTATTTGGAATATTTTTAACATAAACGTATGCAAACTGTTTCTCAATAGTTTCCCTATATTTTTCAGATGCATACTTGTTTGAAAAAAATGTGAAAATGATTTTCTTAAATAATCAAATATACAGGGAAGAGAAGAAATAAAAAAATTAAAACGTGAGAAAAGGATAACAAAAAAAGGCTTACAATTTAGATTGAGCAACCAGTGTTGGCTCAACCCCTAGGGAGTTTAGACAATTGCCCCAAATAAGATGATAAAAAATATTTATGCCGCTCCACTAAAAAATATTATTATTATTAGAATCTTTGCATTTAAAAAAAAAGAATGACACCAATTTATTTAAAATAATATAAATAATAAGCCTTCATAAAACCATGAGAATCAATGTACTTTTCTCTTTAAATTATAAGCGGTTCTTTACAAGGGTGCTACAAATTTGTAGGGTATGGATTGACTTATGCCATGACTTGAACTAATACAACAGGTTGAAAATTTCAACTTGTTTATAACTTGAACTAGCTAGTTCAGGTCCTTAAAGCAGGTCTCCGCATGTGAATGAATTCACGGCTAAAATTAATTAGCATTCTTGTAATTATGTGATCAGTTGGGCGTGAATAGGGCGCATCACTTATGTAATTAATCTTGACTAAACGTAGTAATTTGTGTGAAAGTTCCTCCTTCGTCAAACTACAGTTAATATTTGTAATTTGTGTAAGGATAAATTTTATCTATGCAACAATTAAAAAAAAATGTACAAAGTTATATATATATATAAAAGGTATAACATATACTTAGAAAAGTTAATTTCTCAAGTTCTTAATATATGTGGATTGCACGATGAGTAAACATCGTCTAAAATAAATGTTTCTTTAGCTTTATCAATCCCTGTGAACCCCAGAAATTTATTTTGATTATGGCACTTATTTTTGCAAACAAAATAGTGATGTAGCATATAAGACAAAGATAAATATTGCATGTTAATTTCAAAGTAAATAATAAATAATATTGCTTGGTAGTAGAACAAGATACTATATTGACATGTTTATTTATCAGGAGTGGGGAATGGAAATGAGAATAGAGAATTAGAATTAACTCCACATTTACTTACCTACTTTTATTTTGGAATGAGAGTAAGAATGTGTGGGTCCCACACCAATTTGAGATTGAAGAATGAGATTGGCAATCCCCTACCCCCATCGGATTGGATTGATGATAAAAAGTGAATTACAATTTTACCCCTAATTCTACTAACAAATTCTCTGCTCCTAAAAAAAAAAAATGAAACCATAATTCTTTCATAAATCTCATTTGCCCCTAAAAAAAAGAGAGACTGTAATTCTTTCGCAATTACGAAGAGTTATTTTTAAGATTTAAAAGAACATTACCTACACAACTTCAAATAATTGTAAATAATATCTAAAAGTATTATTCTTTACAGACCATTAAATTATCATATTTTGATTAAGGGTGGCAATTTGTGTTAGTGGGTCGTATTCGTGTCAACCCGTTTATTAATCGTGTCAGAAAACATCAACCAAAATACAATCTTTTTATTAAACGTGTCAAAAATGTCAACCCAAACACGACCAATTTATTAATCGTATTAATCGTGTCAAGCCGTATAACCCGTTTAAATTAATATATTGAATAAATAACTAATATAATAATAACTTATTTAACACGGTCAAGACAATTTTAACATATTTATTTGTCAGTTTATCTTTTCCTTTAAGAAAAATAAATGAATTTTACCTACAAATATTATAATTCACATTATTTGTATTTAATATGTCATATAAACTTTCATGTTATATCACATATCATTAGATTGCATATGACACATATCATGTCAATTCGTGTTAGGAGATCAACCCTAACTCAACCAATTTATTAATTGTGTTAATCGTATCAACCTGATTATGATCAAAACTCATTTATAGTAAATTCAAACCCGTTAACTTTATGAGGATTTCGAGTCGTATCGTCGTATTGCTACCCGGATTACTAGCCTTAATTTTGGTCAAATATTGCTTTTTAATTGTATTATGTAGGGGTGTGGGGAAAAAAAAAAAAAACTGTAATGATTTAGGTGGGATTCTGGGGCACGTGCTCCCAGCGGTCCCAACGTAAATCCGTTGCATATACAATAACGGCCGTCAAGGTGAGATTCATATGATATGATGATATCTTCGGATTATGTTTCAACCAAAAAAAAAAAAATTGATAAAAAAGAAAGTCTACGGAGTATGCGATTGTAAAACAAATAATTAAAAAAAAAGAGACTTTATTGTAATGCAGCCAAAAAATATAAGATACGTCTAAGAGACTTTTCAAACCGACGCAAGTTGGACCAGAAAATAATTTCCATGTGGAGACAATATATATTATAAGATACTTTTTCATGCAGCCAAATATTACTAGAAATAAAAAATAGAAATATATCATTCAAGCGATATGCATGGCACATAAATTATAGATCAGTTAGAGTCAAAATTGGTTAATTAAATATGCATTGTTGTAGACGGCTAGCTACTTCGGTGCACGTGATGCTTTCAGATAGTATCAATACATCCTTAATTAGCTGGCTCAAATGTTTAAAATATGTATGCTGTACAATATTGACTATGACTAGAATATATATTTTACATTCTTTATTTTAGAAGTGACACTTGATATTATAAACAAACAACTATAAATACGAGTAATTGCTCATAGGTAGTACATCACACCAATATTTATCATTAGCTTTTGATCTCACCTCTCTTGAAGCTAGAAAGCCAGCTTGATCACATATTTTTGTTGTAATAAACATTCCTTTTAGAGATCCTACGAATGGCGCCTACCAAAACCAGTGCCGCACAATGGGATAACGATTCTGTAACTGAGTGGGTGATAAACAAAGGCAATGGAGTGAAGGGTCTCTCAGAAACTGGCCTCAAAACCCTCCCCCATCAGTATATCCAGCCCGTGGAAGAGAGGACGATGAGTAAGGTCTTGGTCGGAGAGTCTATTCCGATCATCGACGTGTCCAACTGGGACGACCCCAAAGTAGGCGAGGCGATTTGCGACGCTTCAGAGAAATGGGGTTTCTTTCAGATCATCAACCATGACATCCCCCTGGAAGTGCTCGACAACGTTAAAAAGGCGACATATCGCTTCTTTGACTTGTCCGCTGAGGAGAAGAACAAGTATTCCAAAGAGAATACCGTGTCCAACAATGCCCGATACACCACCAGCTTTATTCCTACGGTTGAGAAGGCTCTAGAATGGAAAGATTACCTCAGTCTCTTCTATGTTTCCGAGGAAGAGGCAGCTGCTGTCTGGCCTTCTTCTTGCAAGTAAGACTAGTCGAAATCTAGCTATTTATTTTTAATTAACATTCTCATACTTACATGTAAATACACATTATCAGTTCTATCTCTTACAGTTTGCCATGACCACAAGTCCTCTGTATATATAACAAGTTATTTCCCATTGCATAATACCTACTTATTCATATATTTGACCACATATACTTATCTATACATATATATTAATTTTTCAGGGATGAAGTGTTAACTTACATCCATACCGGCGAAAAAGTTGCGAAGAACTTGTTAAAGGTGCTACTCAAGGGGCTAGACGTGACTGACATAGACAGTGAGAAAGAGCAACTTGTAACAGGTTCAAAGAGGGTTAACATGAACTTCTATCCTAAGTGCCCAAACCCTGATCTCACTGTTGGAGTTGGTCGCCATTCTGATGTCTCGGCATTTACTATTCTCCTTCAAGATGATATTGGTGGGCTTTACGTGAGGGTAGAGGCTACGGACAGTTGGATCCATGTGCCGCCAGTAAAAGGATCTCTTGTTATTAATATAGGTGATGCTGTGCAAATACTTAGCAATGGACGTTACAGAAGTATTGAGCACAGAGTCGCGGCTAATGGAAACAGCGACAGGATCTCAGTTCCCCTTTTCATCAACCCAAGGCCAGAAGATATCATCGCTCCGTTGCCTGAAGTTCTCGCTAATACCGGAGAGAAACCGATTTACAAGCCAATTTTGTACTCGGACTACTGCAGGCACTTTTACAGGAAGGCCCACGATGGAAAGGCTACCATTGATATCGCAAAGGCATAAGTTTGTTTTTCTGTGTCCTGATGTTGTAGTGATGAAAAATAAACATTAAGAGTGGGATCCATGAAATTCACTTGATTAAGATGTAAGACCTTGTTAGCAAATAAGTTTCAATAATATCTTTTAAGAGACGTTTGTTGTACTCCTTGGGTTTATGTAAAAGTACTGCAGAAGTACTGGGAGTCTTAATATATATTGTAATAAACACGTTATTTAAAAATACGGGTTGTTTGGGTCATTTCATATATATATATATATATATGCATGTTTTTTTATGAAATAATATGTACTAATTATATCTGTACATGTGCAAAGATATGAATCTTTTAATGGTAAGAATGAACAGCCATTTACCAGCTTTCATGTTCTAAATATTTGGAATACATTTTTAGCATAAACGTACGCAAATCTTAATAATTTCTGTGATCTATTTTAGAGAAGAATACTTGGTAGAAAAAATTTGAAAATGATTAAAATCTACTTTGATAGCCATCCATAGTTATCCGCCGGAAACAATTGTCACTGCCGGAAACAATTGTCACTGGCGACGACTTACTTTACTACTATCGGTTTTCGATAATGTCATAACAAGACAAATTTGTTTTGTACCCTTGAGTTTTTGCAAAGTATTGGAGAAGCGGTCAGAATCTTAATATATTTCTCAATTAACAAGTCTCGATTGTTTCTAATAAAAGAAAGTGTGTTTTTTTGGACCATTTCTTACCTATGTTATAACAAGACAAATTTATTGTACCCCTTGTGTTTTTTTAATATTCTAGAAAGAGACTGCCAATTTAGATTTTTGTTTAGTATGCAGCGAGAGTCGTTGGGTTGAACCAAATGTGAAGGGAAAGAAAGTACCTGATACGCCCCTAATATCAGTGAAGGATTAGAGACGAGAACCACACACTTCGAGTGAGTGCAAACTCCAGAAAACAGAGAGAAATGAAGGCAAGAGACGAAGACGAAGAAGAGAAGAAACAGAGGAATGCCGTTTGAGATATTATTTCTGTGATAAAAAACTTACAATCATCTGGTATCATTCTTATAGGCTTTCCTAGATTCACACAA